AGTGAGCCATGGGCTGGCCCCTCCACTACATTCTAAACGCTGTGTATGAAATGACTCATGGGATTCTCACAAAACCCTTTGCAATAAGTTCTGCTGCTCTCCCCATTTCACAGAGACACAGAGAGGTTACTCGCTTGCCCAATACCACACAGCTAATGAGCAGCAGGGCTGAGATTTAAACCCAGGCAGTCACACTCCAGAATTCANAACCCTTGGCAATAAGTTCTGCTGCTCTCCCCATTTCACAGAGACACAGAGAGGTTACTCGCTTGCCCAATATCACACAGCTAATGAGCAGCAGGGCTGAGATTTAAACCCAGGCAGTCACACTCCAGAATTCATATTACTAACCACCACGCTATACTGCCTCCCAGTAGGTGGGTTTTTTTTATTTGGGTGGGGAGTAAGGCTGTTGCAGACCTTGAGAAATCTGAGCTGCAAGAAGAAATATAGGGAGACTCCAGCAAGGCCTTACAAGATCCTTGTAGCTAGAGACCTGGGAGGTGTGTGGCCAGGGTGTTTGCTGCCCATGTGACAACCTGCTGGAGCACCTACCAACCAGACAGACAGATGGACTGCAGCCGCCACTCCCAATCAGAAGGGCAGGAGGCAGTGTAACTGGAGCCTGGGGACCCTCTGCTGTGCTAGCAGTTTACTCATAGGTTGCTGGATCATGGGGAGTTCTGGAGGGGTCCCAGGTCAGGGCCAGGGCAGGGTAAGGTTATGAGGGAGGGAGGTGAGGACAAACGGGAGGGGAAACAGGGAGGAATGGATGGTGCAGAGGAGAGAAATAGTTGGGGAAAGGGGAAGGGGTGTAGAGGAGAGACACTAACCTGGACAAGCAGTGAGAAGCCCGTATGGACCGAGCCCTGCAGGATGGAGTTGCGGGTGGTCCCCACATACAGCGTGTCTCCCCGGCCCTCTGCCACAGTGCGCACGGGGCCGAAGTCCTCAGGGACCTGGGAGGGCAGATGACAGAGGGCAGATGAGTATAGCACACAAGCAGAGGTGGGGTGGGGGTGACACACTGGAGGAAGGAGGGTCCCGTGTTAGGAGCCCTGGTGGGGTGATGGGGGGGCCTCTCCACCCTCATATGGCCCACTCCCCCTCCTCACCTCCACCTCCTGCAGCTTGCTGTAGTCAGAGCCCCAGAGGACCACCCGCCGATCACGGCCCCCTCCAGATACCAGCGTCCCGTCCCGCAGGGCGCAGAGCCCAAACACACCACCATCATGGGCACCCAGCACTGCCTGTGAGATGCGGTTTCCACCTGTAGGGTCCCAGGGGCAGAAGTCAGCCTGGGGAAGCTGCCACTGCACTGATGCCTGAAAGCACCTCAAACTCTCAAGCCTATATCTATCCATTCACCCACCTTTCCATGCTTCTCTCTGACTTTCCACCCCCCCACCCATCCAACCACCCAGTACCCACCTACTCAAATACCATGCATCCATTAAACCATCTGAACTAACATCTGCCAGTCCACTCACCCAGCCGTCCACTCACCCACTCACCTATTGGTCTGTCCATACCTCTATCTACCCAGTCATCTATTCACTTACCTACCCAGACACCAGTCTGCTATTTACCTACCCCCCCGTCCATTCATCCACCAGTCTACTGATCCGTCCATCCATCCACGCTTTCTTCCATCCGTCCATCCATCCACCTCTCCTCCATTCATTCACCTCTCTTTCATCCAACTACCCCCTCACCAGTCGATCCATCCTTCCATACAAACACCCACCCATTTTCCATCTATTTTCCCATCCATCGACCCACTCACCTGTGTACCTACCTATCCTGTCATTCATCCTTCCATTAACCCATTTAATCAACAGTTATTTGACTAGCATTTATTCTGGACCCAGCCCTATAGTGGGGACACAGTGGTGACCAGGACAACCTCAGATCATACCCTTACATGGCTCACAGTCCAGTGGCAGAGACAGACTCACTACAAGCCAGTGACAACCCAAGGCAGTTGGGGGTGGAACGGGAAAACCCAGGAGACTCTGAGATCCCATGAGGGTACCCAGCCTGGTGGGTGAGGGAGGGCCTCCTGGAGGAGAGGGTAGCTGAGTGTGGATCTGAAGGTTGAGTACGAGTCAGCTGGGACAAGAGAGGGTAGGAAAATGTTCCAGGCAGAAAGAACAAGTTCTTTTGCAAAGGGCACAGAGTAGAAAAGCACAGACTATTTAGGGATCTAAAAAGAATCTGGTGTGATTAAGTGTAACGGAGTCAGCTGGGACAAGAGAGGGTAGGAAAATGTTCCAGGCAGAAAGAACAAGTTCTTTTGCAAAGGGCAGAGTAGAAAAGCACAGACTATTTAGGGATCTAAAAAGAATCTGGTGTGATTAAGTGTAACAAGCAAGGGCCAGAGTTTCAAGGCAAAAGAAGACATGGCCAGACCACACAGGGTCTTGGAGGCCTCAGTTAGGACCCCAGATCTTGTCCCCAGGGAACCAGGGAGTAGTGGAAGTAGAGGGACAGGGTCAGATTTACATTCGCTTCTAGAAACAAACTGAATTGAAGAGGGCAAGACTGAAGGCCGTGAGACAAGGGAGAAGGCTCAAGCAGGAGAGGAAGGAACCACTCTCTTCAATTCCCATCTGTCAAGACTCAGATGTGGCATCACTTCCTGCAAGCAAGCGAGGCTCTGTTTACACCTGACGTGTCCGTACATCATTCTGTCCATCTATCTTTCCAATCACCCATCCCCCTGACAGGCCGAAGCCCAGGGGTGGGTCTGGGGATGTGGAAACCAATCAAACTCAGTCCCTGCCCCAGAAACTTAACAGTCTTCCAGGAAAGACACAGTGTCACTGATTATTCAGAGCTTATCTTTAGCTGCCTGATCTCAAGGAAAGCTCAGAACAACCCTGTGGAGAGTTCGTGACAGTATATGCACTTTACCGATGGGACAACTGAGTCTCAGAAGGGACATGACTTTCCCAAGGCCACACAGAGCACACTACGCCACTGGGACCTAAAACTCAGGCCCTCCCAACTCAATTCCCCTCCCACTGTACACCCTGCCTCGGGTAACCCCACAGGGGGCCAGGCTCCCCCAGGTCAGCAGAACTGGTGCTTAGAGAGAGATAATCCCTGTCTCCCATTCAGCTTACAGGCAGGAAATCTGAGGCCCAGAGACGGGAAGGCTTTTACCCAAGGACACAGAACAACACCTGGTTCAGGCCTATCTCTCACCCACGTGCAAGGGGGCAGCTGGTGTGAAAAGGACAGGGGCCTTAGAGACCAGGTGCCCTGACTCAGCCAAGCTTGGCCTTATGCTGGGCCACTTCCCTTCTCTGAGCACACTGTTTCTCCTCTGTGTAATGGGAATAATACTCAGTGTAGCCTTGAATAAGGAGTATAGTGTAAATGAAAGCAAAAGCACCCAGGCCAAAATACCCATTCATTTATTCACGCTTCCCACTGGCTGGGACAACCCATTTGTTCCTTTCTTCACACATTTACTCAAAGACTGAGACAAACTTTTACTCACTCCTTTATCCTTGGCTGGAATAACCCATTAATTTATTAATAGAGTCATCTACTGGTTGGAACAAACATTTATTCATCCATTCATCCATCCATTGGCTAGGACAATCAACTCGTTTATTCATTCATTCATTGATCCACAGTCTGGGACAAACCACTTATCCATCTATCCCTTCATCTACCCATCTGTCCTTCCTTTATCTACCCATCCATCCATCCGTCCATCCATCCATCCATCCATCCATCCATCCATCCATCCATCCATCCATCCGCAACTGAACTAACCCATTCATTTATAATTCAAACTTGATCCCTAACGTGGGATCTGCAGAGGACAAGTGTGGAGGGAATCAATAAAGACTTCATGGAGGTGGAGATATTTATACTGAGCCTTGACGGGCTCTTGGAATTGGACAGGTAGGAATTTAATCCATTTTATCATTCATTCCACACAAACAGGGTTAGAGGAAAGGAGGCACAGCCAAGGGTGTTTGGGAAGACTTGGTTGGTGACCAAACAGATGGGATGACACTGACCTTTGCCCCACACATAGAGGTTCCCCCCAGAGTCTCCAGTGACCACGTCGCCACCCTCCAAAAAGGTCACACACAGAACATATTTCGGTTTCTCGTGTTTCTAAGGTAGGGGAGAAAAGGAAAGTTTCAGAGTGCCGCTGAAGCAGAGTGGCCTCCCAGAGGTCACCTATCACCCAGGACCGTGGTCCAGAGGATCCCCTCTGTGCTTTTGGGTGGAAGGCCTCATGTGAAGCATTCCCATCTCCAACCTGCCTCCACCCTGGATTGCTTAGGTCGCCCAGTTTCTGACCACATTGTCTCTCCTTCCCACCCGCTCCTCCTCTCTCTCCTCCCTGACTTCTCTCCCCTTCTCTCTGCCCCTCATTTCTCCCCTCTCTCTAACTCCCTCCTAATATTCCGTCTGTCTCTCCAGACCCCTTTCTCTGCCTCACCCCATCTTCTTCTCAGTATCTCCATTCATCTCCATCTGCCTGGTGTTCTCAGGGCCTCTCTTTTAGGGGTGGAGGCCCCAACTCTAACCAAAGGCAGGGGAGCCCTATCAGAGGTACCCCTGTATCTTCTCTCCCAGGCCCTCTGCTTCCTGCTCAGTTTGTCTGTCTCAGTTCCTGTCTCTCAGCCAGTCAGGCTCTGACCATTCTTTGGTTATCCATAATACCGACAAGCATAGCACCCGTTTACTGAACGTTCACTCTCTGCAGGAGCTGCTATACTCTGATCCCACTGAGAATCAAGGAGGATCATCCATGGGTCTGAGGCCCTGGCAGGCACCCTCTCAGCAGCCCCTGGGACCCTCTGGCTGTCTTGTTGTCTGCCTGGGTATCTCTGCCTGCCTCTCAGGGCCAGGCTGTAGCTGCACCCCTGGCACTCACCTCAAAGAGGCCCTGTCGCTTGCTCACACTGCCCCCCTCCAGGCTCCAGAAGTAGATGTGGGACTTCCCGCAGGTGATAAGCACAGTGGGGTCCATGGGGTGGAAGGTGGCCACCAGCACGGCCTCGTTGGAGCACTTTAGAGGTGGAGGAGATTCTGAATGAGGACCTCAAAGCCACCAGGACTACCATACGCACCCCGCATAGGACTGCCTTATTCGGCTGTGTGGTTCGTGCCCTGCATACTCTACTTGTCTGTACTTTTCCTATACAGCAAACTAAAGTACAGGAGGCAGGACCAGCCAGTGAGGCATTATCAGCTTCTTTATCACCAACATAACGGCAGACACTCTGAGAGCCCCTCCTCTGCACTAAGCACTGTGCTAAACATTTTACATCCATTAACTCATTTAATCCTCACAGCACTGTGTGAGATAAGGTTCCTTACCTCTCCCCCCACACTGCAGATAAAGAAGTGAGGCTCAGAGAGGGCAAGCCACTTGCCTAAGCTCTATGGCTAGGTAAGAGCCATGTCTGAAATCCAACTCACCTAGGTCTGACTCCAGAACCCAGCCTTTTAACCATTTTTCCTTTCCCTAACAGTGAGCCCTGATCCAGAACCCAGGTTTCCTGCTCCCAGCTGAGGACAGGCATGTGACCTTGGGCAAATATGTCTCCCCTCTACCATGCCTTATCTATAAAATAGGCCACTGACCAGAAGAAAATCAAGGTCTGTCCTGGACCTCACAAGACTGTAGAGTCAGCAGCCACCTCATATTGACCTTTCTGCTGGGCCTGGTCCACTCACCGCACATCCCAACATATTCACTGAGGCCCTAGGTGGAAGTTGCTACCATTATCCCCATTTACAGATGAGGCAACTGAGGCTCAGGGAGGGCAAACTTGCTCGAAGTCACATAGCGAGCCAATGGCAAAACCAGGACTTCAACACAGGTCTATCTGATTCCAGACTCCTAACCACTGAGATTGGGTGAGTCCCACAGGGGCACCCCAGGGGGAGGGGATAAGAATGTTCACCCCACCTTGCTGTCTACCACTTTGGCCTCCTTGGCCCAGTCCCACACGGAGAGCATATGATCATTGGATTCATCCACCGCACATAGCAGGTTGCCCCCATTCTACAGAAGAGGAGAGAGAAGGGGAGAGAGGCAGGTGGGTCAGGATCCGCCCTCCCTCCCTAAAACACGCTAAGGCATTCACCTCGCAGGCCTGCTTTAAGACTTTCAAAGACCCTCGCCCACATCATATAAAAAACATTAAAAGACACCCTCCCCCTCCAATTTGGGGGGGGCCATAAAAACCTTTAAAGAGGTTTTACAATTTGCCTTTTAAAGTGACTCATCTCTGAGAAACTCATCTAATTTACCCTTAGCTATGATTTCTCTGCAACCAGCATACATAGTTGGGAATTCTTGCTGACACTAATCTGCATTTTCCTATGGAATGACTTTTATGAATATAAAATTCAACAATTAATAAGGTTGGTATAATGTTGGTTTTTTTTTTTTTTTTTTTTTTTTTTTTTTTTTTGTCTTTTTTGTGACCGGTAAGGGGATCGCAACCCACTGGCCATCTCTATATAGGATCTGAACCTGCGGCGGGAGCGCTCCTGCGCACCCAAGCGCCGCACTCTCCCGAGTGCGCCACGGGGCCGGCCCTAATGTTGGGTTTTTATACCTACGGTTAAGCAGGTTAATTTTGAGTTGGCAGGGTTTTTTTCTTCCCCTCACTTTGGCACCAATATAGCTTTTCCCCCACAGGCTCTCCTTAGGCCTCAGAAAACCTGGGAGGCTCCAATCCAGTGCTTCTTAAACTATCTGTAAGGAGTACTGGTTGTATTTTACTCTCCACTCCAATTCAGACCAATATTTTCATAAAATATGACAAAAATGTAAAATATGATTTAAAAAAAAAAAGCCTACCAATTGCACACTTGGATGTTGTGGCAATGTCAAATGGCTCTACAAATTCCTAAAGGCTTACTCTCAATTTCTATACTTATCTATGCCTGGACCTGCCAACACCCCTCCGAAACTGCACAAGGAGCAACTTGGCTTTAGACTCTCGGCCTAAGGGACAAGGACCCATCAAGAGTGAAAGGGGGTGCGAAAAATAATTCAACAGAATTAACTGATCTACAACAAGAGAAGAACACGGAATTTGTCTGGGGCAAATCAGGTTATATGGTCTCCCTCATAATGGTTAATAGAGCAGGCCTGTGAGATCAAAAGGATGGGAGGACCTGGAATACTGCCAGGGGCGTGGCCTGCCTTTACGATATCACAATGAGGGTGTGGCCTCATCTCCAAGGGGCAGGTGGGAAGGTGCCCACACTTGCCCCTGCTTTTGGAGGTGAGGGGGTGGGTAAGGGTGGGCACAGAACTTACAGATTTGGAGAAGCCTACACAGCACACAGCTCTGTCAAACACCCCCAGGCCCAGCACATGTAAGGTGGAGAGTGACACTGAGTCCCAGATGCGCACATGGGGTGGCAGCGGCTGAAAAGAGAGAGGCCTGTTACCTGGGGGGACCAGCTGCCTGCCCCTGTGGCTCCACCCCAGTCTCCCAGTTGTGCCCCCTCTTTTCTGCTTGCCCCCTCCTCTCCATTACCTTCCCATCCTTAGTGGTGCCTGCCACCTGTCCAGTGGCGATGGTGACCATATCTGGGTGCACAGCCAGGCTGAGGCAAGAGGAGACAGATAGACAGACCACAGTCAAAATGCCTGGTTATTCATTCCACAGATTGGTTGATTGAGTTATTTAAACAAAAAGCGTTTATTTAGTCCTTCAATAGCAATAAGTGGATACACTCTGGGTACATGAGCTCAGAAGCAAGACTCAGACCTCAGGTCTCTAGCTAAAATGCTCACAGGGCTCCAGCACATACCATGAAGAGAGTACACTGATTTAAAGCCAAGAGAGTACACTGATTTAAAGCCAAGAGAGTACACTGATTTAAAGGGGCCACCACCACCCTGCTTCAACCCCCCCACCAAATTGTCTGAAGTGCCAGTTCAGAGTTTTCAAAAGAAGTGAAAAATCCAGGCAATGAGTGAATTCACCAATCAATCCACATTTTCCTACTGAATTCAGCCTGGGGATAGCTGGTGGCTTTCCAGATGGAGCAAAGGCTTGGCCCTGCCCTACACCTCAGCTCTGTCACGTCTTCTTCCCATGCCTCACCATTTGATGTCATCATTGTGTCCCAGGTAGTGTCGCTGCCTCTGCTCCTCCACACTGTATAGCACAGCCACAGAGGCCACAAAGTACACTATCTCCCCTGTGGGCAGCAGGTAAAGGTTGGCCCGGCAGTCTCGGCCTCGGTAGCCATAGCTGGAGATGCCCAGTGGCTGGTTAAGGAGCCTGTTTTGCAGTGCGAGTGCTGGCTGACTACCAGACTCAACGACGTCATTGGAATGAGGTGTGCCTGCTTCCACTCCTACCTCTGTAGTGGGTTGAATAATGTCTCCCTAAAAATATGTCCACATCCTAATTCCTGGAACCTGTGAATGTGACCTTATATGAAAAACGGGTCTTTGCAGATGTAATTATGGTCTCAAGATGAGGTCATCCTGGATGATCTGGGTGGGCCCTAAATCCAATGACAAGAGTCCTTATAGGAGATAGAAGAGAAGACACAGATACAGCAGGAGAGAAGGCCACGTTTAGACTGAGATTAGAGTGATGTGGCTAAAAGCCAAGGAACCCAAAGATTGCTGGTAGCTACCAGTAGCTAGGAGACAGGCAAGACACAAATTCTTTCCCAAAGCCTCTGGAGGGAGCATGGACCTGCCAACACCTTGATTTTGGACTTCTAGCCTCCATTACTGTTGGAGAAAGTTTTTCTGTTGTTTTAAGCCACCAAGTGTGTGGTAATTATAGCAGGCACAGGAAACTAACACTCCCTATCTGTGCCATAGAGGCCACAGGGATCCTGTTAAAACCTGTTGACATTTAATTCAGCTCACATCCCTTCTGTGGCTCCCATCTCACTCAGATCAAAAGCCAAAGTCCTTATAAAAGCCCAGACCTGCATGGATCTGGGCCCTGGTTCCTCCCTCCCCTCCCACCTGCTCAGCTCCACTCACACTAGCTTCCTCCCTGTTCTCACCTCAGGGCCTTTGCACTTGCTGTTTGCTCCACCTGAGTAGTCTTCATCCATTGCGCCACAGCTCCCTCACCTCCTTCCAGTCCCTGCCCATTCTATTTAAAATTGCAGGGGGCTGGCCAGTTAGCTCAGTTGGTTAGAGCATGGTCTTATAACACCAAGGTCGAGGGTTCATATCCTGGTACTGACCAGCCACCAAAAATAAATAAATAAAATGAAATTGCAAACCCACCCACCCTTTCCCTGCTGTATTTCTCGAATGCACTTATCATCATCCCATATGTTATCTATTTAACTTATTACCTGTCTCCCTGACTACAGTGACCGCTCCAGGAGGGCAGGGATTTTTGTGTTTTGTTCACTGCTGTATTACTTGTCCCCAGACAGGGCCTGGTACACAGTAAACACTAAGAGTTCAATATCTGGTGAAGGAATGGCTGTCCCTTCCCTATTCAGAACTTCCTGTGGTTCCCCAGTGCTCTGGGAGAAATTCTAAGCTCCTTCCTACTGGCCTGATGGGCTCCTCCCTGGCCTTAGCAGGGTGACTGTCGTCCCTTGCTCTTGGAGTTCTTCAAAACGCCAAGATCATTACCACCACCCCAGGCCTTGCCATCAACCTTTCCCTTTTCCTACTACACTCCCCCCACCACCTTCTCAGCTGCCACCTCCTCAGAGCAGCTCTTGGACTCATTTCCTCCAATGGACTTATCTTCCTTAGTAATTATCTGGCTTATTTGTTAACTGCCCATCTTCCCTAATGAGACTACGAGCACCATGGTGGCCAAGACTGAGCTATTTTGTTCACTTCTATTTCTCCTACTCAGGAAGCCCTCCTTGACCCCAGGCTGGGTCAGCTGGCCCACATCCTGTGGGTTCCCCCATCCTGGCCTTGCACACTCTGGGTCATCACTGTCAATAAGGCTGTTCCCCCATTGAACTGTGAACTCCAGGAGGACAGGCAGAGACTGTCATGGTCACTGCTGAGTCCCTAGCCCTCTGCACCAGATGTTCGGAAAATATTTGAGTGATGCCAATATGCATATCCTGACTTCACAGAAACTGATCCACTCTGCAGTCACTGTAGAGATGGGCAGTCTGAGGTCCACACTAACTTTTGCAATCTCAGCCACCTCTCATCAAATGCTTATCAAGTCCCACCTAGCAGGACCGTTGGCACAGATTCCCATGAATATTCCCAGTTGCTGAGAAGGCTCTGGGCTCCCAGAAGGACAAGCCATTTCACCAACCTCCCTGACTCCTCCTGAGGAGAAACCAATGCCCCGAGAGCAGTTCCTGGGGTGCAAACTTCAAGCCCAGTGGGCATTTTGGAATAGTTTGGGTCCCAGAGTCAGGGTCCTTGCCTCAGATATGCTCTGACTCCCTAGGACAGGGCTTAGCCCTCTCTTCTGGCCTCAGTTTCCTCATCTGGAAAGTGGGGATAATAATCCCCAACATGCAGGCCTCAGAGAGCTCTTAGAGGCCACTGGTGTAAAAATACATTCTCAGGGCCGGCCCAGTGGCGCACTGGATGGTGCGCCGTTTGGGAGGCGCGGCGGCGCTCCCGTCCGAGGGTTCGGATCCCATATGCAGACCGGTTCCCGCTCACTGGCTGAGCGAGGCGCGGGAGCAACGCCGAGGCTTGCGATCCCGTTGCCGGTCCCCGGTCCGGTACGGGGGCAACACTGAGGGTTGCGATCCGTTGCCGGACACGGAAAAAAGAAAAAAGAAAAAAAAAAAAAAAAAAAATAGTGTTGGGTAAACTGGATGTCCACATGCAAAAGAATAAAGTTGGAGCCTTATCTTACACCATATACAAAAATTAACTGCAAGATGAAAAAGATCTAACTGTAAGGCCTGAAACTACAAAACTCCTAGAGGAAAAAAACATAGGGAGAAAGCCTCATGACACTGGATTTGACAATTACTTCTTGGATATGACACCAAAAGCATAGGCAATAAAGCAAAAAGAGATAAATGGTCTACATCGGACTTAAACCCTTTGGTACACTAAAGGAAACAATCAACAAAGTTAAAAGGAGTAT